AGAACTTTTTAGAAGAAAAGGGCCGTGTGAATACAGCTTCAGAAAGACGTTCCTCCTCTCCCCTCCTGTACTGCTCAGGGTGATCCGCAGTAACTCTCAGAGCAGTATGATTTATGGCTAAAAAGTTACTTACTTTCTAGAAGGGCGAGGAGGCACAAAAGTTTGAACCATAGCCGGGTAGGAGCAGGAGTAGTTTGTAGGGTCGGCCATAGCAGACGCCCACGCAGAGATGCTGAGGCTGAGCCCTGCCTGCCGGGCGCCGTCTGTGGTCCCTGCTCCCCTCTGCCCTTGCGCAGAGCGCAGGGCCGCTTTCCACGACTACCTGAACTGAATGCTCCGTGTCCCGTTCAGCTTGCTCTGTGCCTTGCCAGGCCCTTCTGGCTACCCACAGTGCTTCTGTGCTTTGAATCCCAGCTTCTCCTGAACAACAGCAACAAAACACTCTCTCTTTATTGAGTCTGCCTTGATTATTTCTGGATTCTTTTCAGGCCCTTGTTCCCTAGCCGTATGGTCTCTTCTGGGGGAGCCAAAAAGTTATCCCTTGCTTACTTAATGGCAAACCAACAATTTCCCATGTGACAGAAGCCGTGCCGTGATTACACGTAAGATACGTCCCCCGTTCAGTACTGGAGTGGGCACGCCCATTTTCCGTGACGTAGGAAAATGTCACTGCAGTGTGACCCAGCCGTTTGGTGGCTTGAGGTGGCAGGGCTTGGTTAACTGATCAAGTTCTTACCTGACCAGCTGGGACAGGACAGTTATAGGGCACCTACTGTGTGCTGGACTTTGAGCCCGACGCACAGTGGTGCAGGGTTCTAGGCTAGAGCTTGTTCCAGGGAGAATCAAGCCAGACGGGGTCCATGTCACGGGCACCAGGCTTTCCTTGTACCTGCCGCTCTTGAGAGGCTCCTCTTGCAGGGTCCTGGGGAGAAGAGGGAGAGGGAAAAGATTGTACCCAGAGGAAACTTCTGTGGCAAACTCCATGGTTCTGGGTTTTAACAACTAAATATCTCCCTGTAGGGAATGGAGAATGGATCATTCTTTTGTCCTCCAAGCCTCTGAACTCCTGTAGAGGGACAGGGCTTGAAAAGGGAAGCTTTTTATAATTAGATTGGAAGGTAAAGCTATAAGAAGTGTTTGAACAATGGCCCCAGATATGGGTGTTGGTTTAAAGAATTAGGACGAAAAACGGAATGAGAGAAAAGAGTTCATCGAAATAGATAAAAGAGAGCTGTATCTAGTTTTTTCTTTTTCTGATAGAAAAATCAGAAAAGTTTAGTGGAAAAAATTAGGGAAGTCAAGAGAGCCACCAATTCGAAGAAATTTTTTTTTTTTTAGTTGTAAATATTTCTAGAAATTTTAAAGAAAGAATGAAAAAGTATCATGATAAGGCGCCAGAAAGAATAAATAAGAGAATTAAAAGCAGCGTAGTGCGTTCCAAGGCAGAGACACTGTGGCCAGAAGTCCACACGTCTCTCGGCAACAGTTGGTTTTTCTCTTTTCAGGGAAGTTTTCACGATAAGCATTTGCAAATTAGTTGAAAGGAAATGACAAAAAAACAAAAAAAACACAACAACACTTCCTTAAGTAAAACAAAGCAAAAAAAATCTAAAAACCATTACATTCTGCCTCTTTTCTGAAATTGTCCAGAAAACTTATTTTGCACCCTTTCTTCATTGCTGGGGGTTTTGCGCCCGTTCTTTCGGCAGCCCCCGTGTGGTATTTTTGTTCCTGCTTTCTTCTCTGCCTCTAGTGTGAACAGGCCTGTCTGAGACAGCAGGGTCTGCTTGGTGGCCAATGCCCAGGGACTTCCTGGAGCTGAGTTGAGTTGTGTTTGGTAAATAGACAATCGAATCTGCTTTTAAGGCTTTTTTCCCCCTGCCGTGCAGGCCTCTAATGCATTCCAGCGAGCCGCACTGGCTCTGTCTGTCCTGTAAGTCGCCACAGGGAAACAGAAAGTGCAGCTCATTAGCTGGATGGTTGGTTTCCACATCCCCAAGTTATTAACACTGAGCACGACCTGAACGTAAAACTTCCAGATCCCGGACGTGCTCTGTCCTAGCCTGCGTGTTTCAGTTTTCCCCGTCCCCACGGTTCAGCGGGCTCGGGGGCAGGTGCCTGCTGGGGAGAACATTTTGGTGTGATGCGACTGAGCGTGGGGAACGCGCCAGGAACGCAGATGTGCCGGTGAGGCAGATGCCAGGTTAGCGTTTCCATAGCTCCCCGGTCCTCTCCTGAACAGCATGAAAGATGAGACTGGGAGCAAATAATTACCCTTGAAAATGGTTAGTGATTTTTAAAGTACTTCATATAGCAAAAACATTCTATCAGAATCAAAGCAGTGATAGACTGTTCTCTCTGTGTTAATGAAAATAATCCCTTATCACTGTGACTAAAACTTGTTTCTTGTGACATTTACTTTCATTCATTGTGATTTCTGGGAAATGAATGAAAACATTCTTATTCCAAAGAATTCTGAATTGCATTGGGTCAGCTCCCTCAACCTATGCAGACTGTAGTCTATTCATGGGGGAATGAGAAAAGGAAACAAAGGCTGTTATTTAAATGCCACTTTGCCTAGACTGTTGGTATAGGAAGCAGGGATTGAGTGCGTCATTTTGTCAGTCCTCATTTGCAAGGTCCGTGTTGTAAGATTAAAATTAACTTCCCGTTTTGCAGTGATTACAGCAATATAAAGGCAGCATATGAGGCCATGAAGAACGTGGCTTGCTTGATCAATGAGCGCAAACGTAAGCTGGAGAGCATAGACAAGATAGCCCGCTGGCAGGTGTCCATCGTGGGCTGGGAGGTAAGTGGGAAACGCCCCTCCTTATGGGCTGCTGTGAGCGTTATATAAGACAGTACAAATACAAAGCTTGACACAGCCCGTAATAATGGTCCAACAAATGCTTTCTCTGTGTCTACATATTAATATACACACACATATATATCTATTTATAAAAATAACAATGACAATAGGTAGCACCTGTATTGTGTTTACCATTTACATATACGAACTCATTTAATCTTCTCAACAGTCCTATGAAATAGCCACTGTTAACTATCCCCATTTAACAGATGGGGAGACTGAAGCACAGAAAGGTTAAGTAGCTTGCCCGAGGCCACACAGCTAAAAAGTGGCAGAGCCGGATTCAAAGCCAGGTGGGCCCGGATTCAAACTCCGTGATGGTGACCTTTCTGCTCTACCGCTGTTATTAAGAACAACAAGCCGATGCCATTCCGATTGTTTTTAGACCAAGTCAGATTATCCTACATCCATTAATTGAGCAGAACTCATTCTCCCAGAGGAATGAGAAAGTTTGGAGTGAGAAGTTAGGTTTTTAACTGAATAGGTGATAGCAGTGAAAGTTGGTGGGAAACACTAATATTACAAGGGCGTGATAGATGTCTGGAGCCTGGACGGGACCTCAGAGAACACATGTCCAAGTCCCTTACTTCGTGAGGGAAGAATCTAGGGCATGGCGTTGCTCTGAGCAAGTAAACAGAAGAACTATTTTGGAGTCAAGCTCTTTTGCCTCCAGAAAACATTGTGTGTGACTGGCATTGAAGGAGAACAAAATCTTATAAAACAAAGCCAGTGTCATACCAAATACCATAAAGTAACATTGGATTTGTGTTTTTCCTTTTGATCTTGGATTCTGACATTTAGGGGATAGTTTGTCAGAAGTTTGCTATTTCTTGTTGACAATTTTTCATCTGGCCTTTCGTTTTCAAGACCCTAAACTAGTTGTTATTCCAGGGAGCTGCTGTATACCTGGCGCAAAACGAAAGTCTTAGTACTGTGTTCCCATACACTAGAGCCTCCTCATTGCTTGCTTGTTCTTGGGGTCAGTCTGGGTCAGCTGCCATTTCAGATCTTAGCTGGATTGCATTAATTCAGCATGCTTCAGGTAAGGAAGACACTTCAGATAACATAGGGGTACTGTAACATTTTCTCATTGGGTAAGAAAAAAAGAAAAGAAAGAAATTTCATGCCCAAGGAGACCAATAACCGAGGTTTCAATGGCCTTGGAGGCCCTGCCCACCTGTGAATGGGGCAGGTGGTGGGCAGCCTCAGGTAACCAGAAAGTCTGAGAAAACTGTATCAGGGCCTCTCCCACATTCCTGACACCTGAGGAAATCAGAATTGGAAGATCCTAAGGTGTGTTTTTATCCTTCCAGGGACTAGATATCTTAGACCGAAGCTCAGAATTGATTCATTCTGGGGAACTGACCAAAATCACTAAGCAAGGCAAGAGCCAGCAGCGGACGTTCTTCCTGTTTGACCACCAGCTGGTGTCCTGCAAGAAGGACCTGCTGCGCAGGGACATGCTCTACTACAAGGGTCGGATGGACATGGACGAGATGGAGCTCGTGGACTTGGAGGATGGGCGGGACAAGGACTGGAACCTCAGCGTGAAAAACGCCTTCAAACTCGTCAGTAAGAGCTCGGACGAGGTTCATCTGTTTTGTGCCAAAAAACAAGAAGACAAGGCCAGGTGGCTGCAGGCCTGTGCGGACGAAAGGAAGCGGGTGCAGGAGGACCGGGAGATGGGTGAGCAGCCTGGGCCCCCGGGCCCCCCGGCCTCTGCTTTCTGGCCTCATTCTCTGGCCCCGCGTGCCTACTCTGCCCCAGCCCTCTCCGTGAGAGACCAGTCCCGCCCTGGGGAAAGGAGACAGGATTCGCAAATCCTTAATACTTGAAACCTTGCTTGACCGAGACAGGCCATGACAGGTGCAGTTACTAAATTTATTCAACACTTACCTTGTGTCAGACACTCTGCAGCACATTCATAGAGATTGTCTCGCTGACTCCCTATGAAGTGGTTACTATGATTATACCTGCTTTACAGATGAGAAAATTGAGGCTTATAGAACTGGCCTACTCTTGAGACATGGCCAAGTAGCATTTAAAACTAGCTCAGTTGTCCCCAGAGACTGAACCACACTGTGGTCACTCTCACCCAGGCCCTCGGAAGTATCGATGATGCTAGAGGCTTCCCCCAGCTGTGCCTTGGCAAAGCACTTAAATTGACCTTGCTGCCACCGTCAACTCACACCCACCGACTCTGCCTGCTGTTTCCGCATCTCCCGCACCTGTGAAACTAGGGACCTGGCCTCGTAGATTGCAGTTAAGGCAGTTTCTCCTTCATGCTCAGGATTACGCCTCTGCTCTTTGGTCTGTCTGCCCAGCGTCTGCTGGCCTGGAGGTATTGCATGGCCCCGGGGGACGGAGGCTGCTGTGCCTGGCATTCGGGATGGCAGCTCCACAGTCTCCAAGCCCCAGTCCCAGGGCCTCCCGAGCTCCTTAGGGTTTCGAGCACAAACTGTGGAATGAAAGTCAGCCCGAGTGAGCCCAGATCTCAGGTCACGTGGGCCAGGGTCGAGGAGGCATAGACGTTCCCCCTGCCCCACCCTTACCCACGGCCGTGAGCAAAGCCAGGCTGAAGACCAGGAGGTGCCCTATTGGTCCTCTCCAGCCCCAGCTTGAAGCTTGGCTATGGATTTGGGTCTCACCCACGGGAGGTTTTGTGGGACCCTCTGTTAGAGTCAGAAGGGATTTACAAGTGCATCAGGCTAACTGCCATCGGTAGCAGGAATCTCCTCAGAAACACTGTCAACAGGCGGACGTCGGCCTGTACCCGGACCACTCTACCATACAGAGCTCCCCACCTCACAGGCGGCCCCTTCTACCGAGTGTCAGGGTGTCCTGTAGATGAAGGAAATCTGTGTCCCAGCAACTGCTGTGTATTATCGATACTGATTCCAGGGCCCATTGAAATAAGGCTAATCACTCTATCATGCCCAGAATTCTGCAGATAGTTGCAGATTAAAATGCAAAATCACATCGTAACTCTACCTGTCAGGTATTGTGGTCTAGTGCAGGCCCTGAAATCATCTGTAAGTCGGAATGTTTGGATTTGCCCTGAAAGGGCACTGCCTGTTTACAGGGGCGTCCTAAGCACTTTCGACTTTGCCCTCAGTAGAAGAGAAAGGGGTGCCCTGCCGTGCAGTGCCCAGAAGACGGCGGCTGTCTGGGCGAGTGTGGGATAAAACAGGACACAGGCCCTGGCCTGGAGTGTCATGCCCGTCTCGGGGCCCTATACGTCACGTGTGGGCGGATACTAGAAAGAGTGCCATGAACCAGGGGGAGAGCCGAGCCCCAGGCCAGGCCTGGAGGGCCTCCGAGGCTGGAGATGCCAAGGGCGGCTGTGGAGACGTCAGGACCAGTCAGGGACAGATGGCAGGGCCTGGATCAGCTCCGCCTCAGTAGAGCGAGCGCCTGCCTGCAGAAGGAAGGCTTCCCAATGGAGATGGTAGGATCCAGCACCCACTTCAGCCTGTCTCGGCTCTGTCCTTCTGTCTGTCCTCATGTCCCCACTGCGAGGCCGAGGTTGGTCCCATCTCCGGTTTTCCAGCTCTGGTGGTTTCATGCAGTTCGCCCGCTGCACACAGCGTCGCTGCGCTGCAGAGCTTTACGCAGAGGGGAGTTCAGGGTGCAGGCTGTGCACAGCTGGGGAGCAAAATCCGGTTCCCGTTACTCAGGTAGTGCCTTTGTCAGGGTAGAACCGCTGACCCCCAAACACCTGCAGCACATGGCGGGCAGGCCTGGCCCCTTCTGCTTTGTCCTCTCCTCCCAGGACCTCCACCTGAGCGTTATCACTGGGGTGACCCTGCATGAACATTTTCCCAGGAGGGTCTGACTTTGCACAGTCTGTGTGTGTCATTATTAACAGCACCCATTTCACTCTTTAAAATGCCAGGGTCTGGAGGGTAGTTCTGTGCCCATCCTGTGATGATCTTGCAACCGCCCTGGCCAGTGTTCAGCTCCCCTGGTTCTATGAGAATTGAGGTTCTCGGCCTCAGGTTACGGTGAATACCTCGGTGCTGACATGGCTTGTGGTGCAAGTTGTATTCCAACATGTGTTCCCTGGCTCTGAACATATCATTTCTTTCTAAACCCAGGAATGGAAATTCCAGAAAATCAGAAGAAACTCGCCATGTTAAATGCTCAAAAGGCAGGACAAGGAAAGTCAAAAGGTAAGGTTTGGAGAGGGCTTCGTCTCCTTAACGTGTACGAGTATTCTAATAAAAGTGAGGGGAAGTTGTTAGCCTATGGCCGGCTTTGAGCAAAGGAGAGAAGTGCGATTTAAAACTCAAAGGACAGACCTGAATTAGGGGACAGTTGAAAGATAGCCTGCGTCTGGTTTTACATGTACACCAGTGTTTGTGCTCCCATTGGAAGAGGGCACAGGAAAGGTCTTTAGAGGTGGTACCAGAGGGTTGCAGACCTCCCCACCCCTGAGGGACGATGATGTTAGCCTCACCAGGCCACACGGCACCAGTCTGAGGCAGACAAGGACACTTGCATTTTTGGGGCATGAGAGGAGGAAATCGCCAACCTCAGCCTACTTGTCAGCTATAGGCTGGCTACATTCTAGTTTAGGTGAGAAAAGATCTAAGAAAGTTGAGTACATCAGGCAATGATGACACAAAAAGAAGACACAGGGCCGAGCGCGGTGGCTCACGCCTGTAATCCTAGCTCTCTGGGAGGCCGAGGCAGGCGGATTGTTTGAGCTCAGGAGTTCGAAACCAGCCTGAGCAAGAGCGAGACCCTGTCTCTACTAAAATTAGAAAGAAATTAATTGGACAACTAAAAATATATAGAAAAAATTAGCCGGGCATGGTGGCGCATGCCTGTAGTCCCAGCTACTCGGGAGGCTGAGGCAGGAGGATCGCTTGAGCCCAGGAGTTTGAGGTTGCTGTGAGCTAGGCTGACGCCATGGCACTCACTCTAGCCTGGGCAACATAGTGAGACTCTGTCTCAAAAAAAAAAAAAAAGAAGACACAGGAGCTTATTTAAAGCAGTGATTCATTACCCTCTGTGCACATGAGAATCACTGGGCAGCTACTTAGAAACACGGATGCCCGGGCCACGTTCCCAGGGGCCCTAATGCTCAAAGATTTTTCCACAATGCAGATGACACAAATGATCTATTCTAGCCCAAAAGGAATTCAATAAAAAGGATTTTCATTCCAAAAAAAATGCATTATATTCTTTAAAACTTTATTCAGGTCAACTTTCTACTTTAACAGGGATTTACCCTATGAAATTTATCCCATTCAATATTTTCCTAACTGAAAATGCAAAAACAAGGACCAGTTAATCTCAGGACTATGACAGGCCATCAACAAATGGGCCAAGAAGAATCTGTCACCAAAATGACACTTAGCATTCCCCTGCTCTTCCCACACAGATGCAGATTTTCCCCCCACTAAGTTATAAATATCTTCAAGGCAGAAAAACCCATTTTTTTTCATTTTTATTTTTTTGTATCTCCACTGTTAATGGCAGGTGACTAGTAAATATCAGTTAGAACTTATTAGTTTCTGTTCATATCTTCTAAGAGTCCCTCGCCCGTGGCTTAGCACTGAAGAATGGAATGAATACTAATGCTGATGGGTGGCCACCGGGTCGGGCACTATGTGGGCTCTCTTATTTCTTCCTTCTCATTGCCTGGAAGATGAGGAAATGGCAAGTTTTGGGCAGGGGTGGCTTCTGAATCAAGTCCTGCCGGCTTTCAGAACCCACCCTCTTCCGTCACGTCATGCTGACTTACACAGTCACCTTTTGATCTAATAGCTGATTTTAATAAACCTTTTAAATGACCTGTGCACAGATTTAAAATGCCTACTCTAGGCCAGGTACAGTGGCTCACACCTGTAATCCCAGCACTTTGGGAGGCCGAGGTGGGAGGCTCACCGGAGCCCAGGAGTTCGAGGCTGCAGTGAGCTATGATCGCACCACTGCACTCCAGCCTGGGTGACAGGGCGAGACTCTGTCTCAAGAAAAATAAATAAATAAAATGCCTACTCTAGTAAACAGTTTTGATGAGAGCAATCAGGTATTGGCACTGTTCTGAGCACCTCCATTGACTCATTTAATTCTCATAGCAGCCCAATAGGTATTGTTATCCCCACTTTAGAGATTAGGAAACTGAGGCACAGAGAAATCAAATGATTCCCCCAATAATCACAGCTAATAAGGGGCAGAGAAGGATTTGGGCTGAGGCAATACGAGCTCCAGGCTTTCATTTAGAGCATGTCACTGTTTCTCATCCTGTCAGCGGGGTTCTAATTCTGCCACTTAACCACTCTGTGGTGGCAGGGGAGCCCCATAACCTCCCTGGCTTTCAGTTTCCTTCCCTGTCAATTTAGCATAACGGTCCCCTCCTTGGAAGCTTTTGGGAGGATTCAATGCGATCACTATGTCAGGTTCCACACGCAGCATCCAAACATAATGAGTGTTTCTCGCGTAGCTACTAGAGGTTCTGTTGGTTAATGTGAATTAAGAATCAGCTAAGGATTTTGAGTCTTGGCACTTTTTTTTTCCTTTTCAGTTAACAAGTGACCCTCAGTCCCTGTTCCATCTTTCTCCCCTTCGATGTAGGCTACAGTGGGTGCCCCGTGGCCCCCCCGCACCAGGGCTTACACCCCCTCCACCAGCGCCATGTCACCGTGCCCACCAGTGTCCCCCAGCAGCAGGTCTTCGCCCTGGCAGAACCCAAGAGGAAGCCTTCGCTCTTCTGGCACACCTTCAATAAGCTCACGCCTTTCCGGAAGTGAAAACGGGAGGGCCGTACTCCAACCGAGCAGTTGTTGCAAAGAGGAGAACCGTTTTTGTTTCTTCTATGCTTAAGTCCAAGGAAAGTTTCTTGAACCCAGTGCTGAAAACTTCTTTTGGGGGATCAATGAAAGAGAGAAGGACACGGACTCACCTTCAGCCTTCAGAGACCCAGCTGCCTTCATGGAAGGGCGGAGAAGGTCGTGACGCACAGCTTCATCCTGCATGAGAACCCCCTCGCCCTGCGACCCGCTCTGAGGTGGCCGAGACTTGGGACCCAGTACCACGCTCCCAAGGGAACGCTGAGAAGGGGGCCCCAGCCAGCCTCGCCCATCAATGATGAGCAAGCTTCCACTACGGTTCCGGCACAGGGTGTCGCGAGATTTTCGGTTCCTAAAGAAGGACTAAATTAGAGAATCCCTTTTGCATTTGAAGGGAGTCGTGGAGACGAGGTTGGTCCCGTGCTGTCTTTTGCTAGCATGTGGCTGGGCACACCTAGAAGGTGAGCTCTTAATCCTTTCCATAGTATCAGGGAACCTACCGCTGCTGTGAGGTGGCTGTGGTGTTTCCTGGTGTCTTCTGAGTCCACACAGTTGCCAAATGGTAGTACAGGCTTCATCTTGCAAGATTCCTCTTCCTACAAGCAAAGGGGAGAAAACAATGTTGCATTCATCACCTGGCAGCGTGATTTGCAGTGCAGAGTGACTTAAGCATCCTCAGGATACCGCTGCTTTCAAGACAAGGAGGGAGAAATCCTACTGCATGCCGGGTTTGTCCTTAGGCAGGTCCTCTGCTGCCTTGAGTAACTCCACAAGCAAAAATCGTGTCTTGCCCACACGCCATAACCTAAGAAACTCTGCCATTCAAACAACTTTTTGAGATACAAAAGCCCATTTGCTCTAATTTTCATGATAAAGGAAATATGAAAATGCACTGTTGGAAGGCATTCTCAAAGAGCATCCCTGCACCGCTCCTGACATCCTCACCAAATTGTAACGAAATTACGAAGACACGTACATTCCATGGAGAAAACATGACGGGGGTGAAGCAGTCCTGCTCCTGGGGATTTGAAACTGCCTCTGTCACATAAACCCAAAACAAAAGCATATAACTGTGCCACCATGGGAATGTCGTCACATTTCCCAAGACTAATTCTTTACAAAGGAGACCTTAACAAAATATCAAGGCTTAGAGATAGCAGTCTTAACGAAGGCCACACGGGCTGATACCTGCCGATAATAATCTCCTTTATTTGTTTATATTGTGCATTTTGATGAAAATAACTTTAGCTATGTCTGGAGAAAACAGGCTCTGCAAAGGAGATGCCATTTTTAACCTACTCAGTGCCCTGGATGGAAGGTGTTGTGTTATGCAGTTTGTGGATTTCTATTTGAAAAGCTCATTTTTGTATGCTACTCTTGCAAAGTTCTTTCTTCTAGTAGACCCATGCTTTGAGAATAAACAAATCTGTGATGTCAAAGACAAAGGTGTAATCTCCAGTCTCCAGGTGTGTGTTCCTCCATTCTCCCCGGCCTTCCCCCACATCCAGAGCTATTCCTTAAGTGGGTGACATCACACATCAAGAAAAAGTGCCCCTGGCCCTCTCTGGTGGGCCCTTAGAGCATTCCATGACTGTTCACGACCCTGCTCTGCGCCGTGGCATGCTTGCCTCTAGGCAGCAGTGCTGGAGCATTGCGATGCCCTGCGGCTAGTAGCCCCGGGGTTGCTTCTGTGGACTTCCAGACTGCGTGTCCTGAGATAGAAGTTGCTCTGTGAGGAACATTCTTGCAAGGTGCTATGGCGTGTGACTGGGTATGTGTGCGTTTCCTTCTTGAATAGACACTTCAACTTTAGTTGTATTTATATAACTGACCTTTTTACTAACAAAATACAATGATATATTTTGGAAACGATACTTAATGTGCTTTTCCTGGACACCTCAGCAATAACTGTGGGGGTCTTTGTGCTACATAAAGTTGTTTGTATATACAGCAATTTTGAACAATTTTTTTATGTAATGTAAGAATTGCTTTAAGGAAGTAAAGAGAATCTTTTGCTTATGTTACATTTTCAGTGAGGATTCAATTAAAGAGTCACTGTTAGGGCTTCCATTTCCTAATACTCACTCATGGGCAATGAAGAAATGCTTTAAATTTTTGTGACCAGTCCTAATGTATTTCCCAGCTGAGCCCTAACTTCCGGTTCCCACCTACCTCCACGGACTTCCTAACATAGAGTCATGAATACCAGGACGTGTTTTTGTTATGTCAGGTTCAATTCAAGTCCCAGGGTTGTCCCTGTCAGTTTTATACAGTGTGAGAATCACTCGATCAAATATCTGATCAAGTAGGTCCTACTTGGGTTTTCAGGTGGTTTTGAAAACTTCTCATGTATTTTTTAAAGGATAAAACATCCTTTGACTTCTTGAAAAATCTATATATCTAGCTTGGGTTTTATTACCAAATACCTGAGTTCTTCAAAGATTGGAAGGCTCAATTTTTGGCTTGAATTCATTTTTGGCTTGCCAAACTTCCTTCTTGATTTAAGTCACATGCTCCACTTGGAAAGAAGAAAGAACAAAGAGCCTCCTAAGTGGATTGTGTGTGAATTTCATTGGGAATCTCACTCCCTCCTGTCTTTCTCTGTTTTTAACCTCACATTACATAATATGGGTAGGCCAAAAAAAAGGGTGACATAACATTTGGACAAATTTCACCTATTCTTTTATGTTTCAGAATTCGTCCACTTTGTTGAAAGACAGTGGAAATGGCCTTGGGTCAAAAGCAACCTTCTCAATTTTGATCACACCTAAAATGTATGACAGCCCTAAAGTAGATTATAACCAATCATAGAATAGAATATTTGCAAATTCCTGGAGTAATGCCATTCTTTGTCTTTGGCCTGCAGACTAGAATGAGGGTGGCAGCAATTTGCCAGAGCTTTCCTGGGACACCATCTGCATAGTTTGCTTTCATTAGATCTGATTTTTGTTTCCCACTGGCAGATCTGATTTTGTAGTTGAAAATATTTCACTACCATCTAATGCTATTTCTAAATATTGTCGTGCCTTTTTATACTTAATCCAGATGAAGGCTAACACCATGCCTATTCAGGAAATCCCTGCATACCTCATTGCTGTTATCTAGACACAAAGCAGAGGGACATGTAATTAAAAATTTGGTTTACAATATAAATCTTTTGTAAAAGCCAGGTGATCCAGAAATCTCTGCATGCCTAAATTCCTGATATTCCTCAATACAAATCAACTTAATTTCCTAGCCAGAAATGAATAGCCTGATTACATGGAGTTAGGGGGAGTATTTCTGCACTATTATTTCATCAAAGAGGAGAGAAACATAAAGGTGTTCCTCATGGGACAGGGCCAACAAGAATGAATAAATGTCCTTTCAGTGGCTCACAGGCCAGGGATGCTGGACACAAACTTCTAGGTTAAACTGCTAGCAGACCAGTTTTCCCTATAATAAGTTAAACCTATGAATTGTTCTCTCTGTTAAAATTTCCCTTGGCTAATGGCTGTTGTTTCCAGAATGCAATGAAAGTGGAATTCAAAAGGCCTTGCAAAAAATAAGTGGAAACTCTCGCTGGTAGTGAAGGAAAAAAAGCAGAAGCTTCAATATTTGATGTAAGTTCACCCAGCTGCAACATACTTTCCATTGTTGCCTTTAGTCATCTCATAAGCATTGACATTTTGTGCTTAGAAAATACTTTGAACTGCTTCTGTAATTTAATAGTGGGTCATTTTTGTAAATATTAACATCCATTGTGTATGACTTGCTTACCTACTTTGCAAGGATTTTGACACCCTTTAAACTCATCAACATCAAGGTGATGTTTTTCCGTATAAGTCAAGCGATGGCTTCCGAACTGATGAATTAGCTGTTGACAGCTGAAATATGGTGTACAAGATTGCTTTAACTTGATATGTATTTTTGTTGAATGAAGTTTTTTGTAAAAAAAAAAAAAAATATTTACAATGTTATTTGAATGATTTCTTGTAAATGCTGTGAATCTATATTTGTTGTTTTGTATCTGGATATTAAAATTAATTTGCCAAACTGGTTCTCGCAATGCATTTGAGTAGCAAAATAAGATAGATTTAAAAGAAAGAAGTAGCGAGTGAGTGCCAGGATAGTTTCTGGGGTTTGCACATGCTCTCCTGCCCTGACGTTGGAAGACTTCTTTGCAGTAGCAATTCATCCATCGTGAGCTCCCCCAAACCACCAGGGAGGTGTGAGAGAAAGAAGGCTCTGAGGGGAACCTAGAATGCTTGACTGGAAAGATGTCACTAGACTAGATGTTGGAGTAAGAGTGAGACAAGCGACAAGAAGTGAGCCCTTCTTGGTGGCTGCAGCTTCTGCGAGGAGGGACGAGAGCAGATGAACAGAGCACGTGTTCTGTTTGTGCCCTTGGACGCCACAGCTGCTGACAGGCCCCCTTCCACAGGAGGTGTGCTAGTGGGCCTGGACTCACCCTTGGCTAGTGGGGCGGATAAGAATTTCCTTCTCTAATTTACAGCTCAGAAAAGCCGAGTCAATAGCCCATTGTTTGCTGTGACTAATCAGAACAGGGTTCCTATAAAGGTTGCCAAGCGGCTACTCCCCACTTTTTGTTTACTCCTAACATCCACCTACTTCCCAGAGCAATCTGCTGCCCCTCCAGGCGCTGGACCGGCAGAGACTGAGAGCCCCGGAACCCAAAGGATGCCTCAAAATGGCACCACGTATAGGAAGGAGTGGAAATAAAGAGCATGCAGTGGCATTTTCTTCTGGAAGAGTTGTGAGGATGATGGACCCATGGACATTAGCCACTCACTCTGTGCCCTGGAGAGACTGAGTCGAAATGTGTGAGTCATCCAAGGGAGACACAC